CTGCATCAGGCCTCTGTGCTGACAGCATGGAGCCTGCTTAGGATTCATTCTCTCTCATTCTCTCTCTCTCGCTCTCTCTCTTCCCCCCCCATCCTCCCCTGCTTGCGTGCACACGCGCGCGCGCACACACACACACACTCTCTCTCTCTCTCAAAATAAAAAAAACATTTAAAAAATATTTTAAAAAGGGGTGCCTGGGTGGTCCTAAGCGTCCGACTTGAGGTTAGGTCATGATTTCATGATTCATGAGTTCAAGCCCTGCGTCAGGCTCTGTGCTGACAGCTCGGAGCCTGAAGCTGTTTCAGATTCTATCTCCCTCTTTCAGCCCCTTCCTCCCTCACACCCCACGTCTCTCTCTCTCTTTCTCAAAAATAAACATTTAAAAATGTTTTTAATATAAAAGAAAACACTAGAGACTAGTCAACTGTTATTCGATGTAGCATGGGCTTCAAGCAGTCAATGAATGAAAAGTATCAATCTTCTGAGTGGGTTTGAACAGGTAGGGTTAAGAGAGTCTCCTGAAATAGGCTATTCCCAAGAGTCTTTGCCTAGTCTATCCACCAATCAACCTTCTACCAACTCACATGTATCTTAAGAAAAAGAGTACCATGAGATTTTACTTAATTCCAGGGAAAGCTATTTGAAAAAACATGGGTATAACTTAGGCATATGTAGACATAACTTAGCTATGGATTTCCATGAAATTAAATTATAACTGTGTGATATATCTATCATTAGTAAAGAAAATGACCAAAGTGTGTGTCTTTTCTAACAAATCCAGACACACTTCAAGATCATTGTTAATAATTCTTTTCTCATTAAAAAAAAATGATGGGCAGGGACTGGCAGGAGAGAATATAATCACCCACTTACTATAGTGTAAGAACAAATCACCACACATCTTCCTGAGATCCCATAATAGGAGGAAACTCAAGCATTTAGGGTTTCTAAATCCCAGCTTTGAGAAAGGAGCTAGAAAAAAAACATGGCTAATAGCAGCCTCCAATGTGTCTGTAAAATTTATTTGTCCTCACATCTCTCTCTCCTTCCTTATTTTCTGAGTAATACAGAGCCTCTCCAAAGACATTTCACGTAAATGGATAGCACACACTTGATTCTACACATCGAGAATCCCAAATACAGTTCTGTCCTGTAGACCATCACTAAAGTATATTCCGAGGTAGCTTTAGTCACCAGAAATCTTCTGTCTGTTTCTACAGAATCTGTGTAAGGAGAGAACTACAGATACCTCAAAAACTGCCATTTCCAGAAAAAAAGTTACACCTTGAAGAACTAACACCCAGACATACACTAACACCACCAATCAATACCACTAAGCACCGACCACTCAAGAAAACACAAAAAAAGATGGTAGATTAGAAATAAACAGATCATTGGTGAGTTTAAGACTCTGAAGTCAGGAAAAAAAAATGATTAAAATACACACTCTGCTAGATCTTAAAAAGCTTGCTTCAACTCTGGATGACTGTTTCCTAATGTCAAAAACAAGAGCTATACAACACCCAACAAATAGAGTTGTCTTAACAGTATCATCTATAGGCCCTTCACAAAATAGGCACCTAATAAATTTTAACAGGTATTAGTGTTGTCATTGGAAGGTTCAAGATAAAACAAATTCAGTTATAATGTTAATCCTTTTTGGACACCTAGAGGGATATGGTTAATAAAATCCATCAAACAATTTTCCTTGTGAGTCTACATCGATTTAAATACTGTTATTGTGAGGGTAATATTTTTTGAAGCACTTCTTTGATAGTGACAAAGTTTGGGGTTAAATTATTTTAGGGTCATTTAATATCTAAGATAACTAAAAACCTTATACATATCATCTAGAACTGTGGACGTTTCCCATTGTATCATTCCACTGTTATGGTCAATTCTATGTGCAGATTCCTTACATTTCACTTTATCCATAATGAATCTTGCCTTCGAATGTATTAATAATCTAACTCTCCAATGACCTGTGTTTTGCTTTGTTGTTTAATATTTCGGCATTCCCAAGGGGCACATGGGGCTCAGTCAGCTGAGCCTATGACTTCAGCTCAGGTCATGATTTGACGGTTTGTGGGTTCAAGCCCCGCGTCGGGCTCTGTGCTGACAGCTCAGAGCCTGGAGCCTGTCTTCAGATTCTGTGTATCCCTCTCTCTCTGTCCTCCCACACATGCTTTCGCACTCTCTCTCCCTGTCTCTCTCTCTCAAAAATAAACATTTAAAAAATTTACTATTTCAGCAATCCTCCTATTTAGTTTGACATACCCTTTGGGAAACCCTCTGAAACTTAAACAACCACTTGTTCCATCCTGAAAAGCTCTGAATCTATAAACTACACCAGAATAATAGTCTATTGCCAGTACGGAGGGGATTACAGAGAGGACAGAGAAATAAACAGAGAGCTTCCCGTTCCTTCCAAAGGCACATTTTCACAGCCTGGATTCATTTCATATAAAACCAATTACCAGATTACCAGACACACCCATATTCAAGTTTGAGTAAAGAAACAGGACAAAGCCAGGTATGAAGCAGCGTTTTAGATTAGATACTTTTCTGCTTTCTTCCATTAGGATGAATGGTAACCGCTTGATTATTCTGTTATAGTTTGTTTTCTTGAACTTAACTGTCCTTATTTGCCGACCTACTTCCTCTAAGCCTAAAAACTGTACATTTGGACCTTTATATCTCAAACTGACTCATTTTTAAATACAAGGTATTCTGGACTTCCATGGCCTGATCTCCACCTATTTTCACAGCTTCCTCTCCCACACAGACCTCCTGGCACAGCAGCCTCGTGTCCAGCCCAACAAGCCCTGTAATACCCAACCACACACACCCCCATACACACACATGCATGAAGCCCCCATTTTGCCCCTTAAAATATTTTAATGCCCAAATGGAGTGTTACCAGCTCTAAAGTCATTCACAATTCCCCAGTCAAAAATTAATCTCTCTCTCTCTCTCTCTCTCTCTCTCTCTCACACACACACACACACACACACCATCCTTCCACGCGTCTCTAATAAATCCCACAGGTGTCTTGTGTTGCAATTATCTCTGTGCGTGTCCGAGTCTCCCTTGAAGACAGCTACTGGGTCTGATTCATCTGAGTCTACCCACCCTTCCACCCTGATCACAGAGTAAAAGTCCTTTGCACATGGTACAGGTCCAGGTTGAACTAAACTATTCCTTGATTTTTATCCCAGCCGTTTCCTTTGAAGGGATAAATGAATAGCACGAGTTGAACATTTTGTTAATGGTTACCGCTTCAAATCTAACAATGAAAATGTCAATAATTACATAATGCGTTGAGTTTCTGAGTTGATGAGTGGCAGAGGAGGGCAATGAGCACAAGAAATCATTATGGAAGGCAATCATTTTCTAAGACCCGCCCCTGTCAAAAGTCTCATATATAGCAACATTAAAATTAACCTTTCTGCCCCCATTCTAATAAAAACCAGCATCTCCAGAAACAAAGCAAACAAGTCTGTACGCTCCAGAGAATCTATGCCCATGCAGTTTATTTGGCATCTTTCTTTCAATGCCCATGAATACAACTGTCACCTGATGTCCATCTATCAAAGCTAATGTACACAAAATACAGAATACAGATGGAGAAAAGTTTGGGAATAGTTATGAAATACACTAAGCACATTTCTCCACCCCATCCCCCAAAAAAGTTACTTAAAATGTCACAAACTATATCAGATTTTTGGTGGAAAACGTTTTCTTCAACTGGCCTCATAATCTTTCTAATCCTGACTCATTCTTATAATTTGCGTGTTTTCTTCCACTCTCTACCTACAGAGAAAGCAAATATTCCTCACAAATACATACATGGCTTTAAAACGTGGACACTGTTTAATTTTAAAAAGTATCCCAACTTAGATGTAGCTCAACATCCTTTCTTCTCTGGGAGCAAATGTCATTCACAAGAAACAACTGCACAGAAAATGAATATTGACTTATTTTCTTAACTTAGTTTAAAAAAATCAGTAGGTTTCTAGTTTTCCAATTCAAGTCGACTTTCTAAAACAAAAGGTTAAAAAGGGGTCACTCACTGGCCAGCCTCCGTACTCATTACAACAGAGTTACAACTAATTCGCACAGTGTAGCAACAGTAGCCATCTCCCACACTGACTCTCCCTCTCTCTCTCCCACCCATTAACTTTTTCTCCTTCCCGGGGGTGGGGAACTGGAAAGGTCCTAATACAGGCCTAACTGCCCTCACCCCACGAGCACACACACATCTCCAATCACCACCCCCCACCCCCAGAAAAGAAATGTGGGAGCCCTGGACGCTTCCGTGTGTCACTTCCCCTGCATGTGAGATAAACAAACAAACCAGTACCGTAACAGCATCCAGCAGAGAAATTTTGTTAGCCAAGACTAATGCCCCGGTTAAGTTTTGATCTAAGTCGAAAGCTCTATGAAATAGGTAAATCCCTGCCCCCACCCCCTCCAACAAACACCCCAGCGGGAAGTTTACCCCTGGAATGAATGCTGGCCCCTGACACCTCCTTCCAGCAGCCCGACGCCTCCCGTCCGCCCGCGCGAACCCCCCACTCCGAAGGTAATTATCTTGGACACAATCGGGAGCTCTGGGGCTGCGCTCGCGACCTCAAAACCCCTCCCCGAGGAAGCCCCCGCCTCCTCGCGGCTCGCCCACCTCCCCCGCGTCCCCACTCGCGCCGCACAGCTCGGCAACTTCTGCACCCGCCCGGCCCGCCGCCCGCGGCCCCCTCCCCGCGCGCCCAGCCCTCCGCGCCCTCACCGCCAGCAGCGGCCCCTCCCGCCCGCCCGCCCGCCGGGGTCCTCGCCCACCCCCTCCTCCGCGGCCCCCGCCCGCGGCGCCGCCCCCGCCGCACCCCCAGCCCTCCCGGCCCGGGACCCCAGCCCACCCAGCCCCACCCGGGAAGGAGGGAGCCGCGGCCGCGCCGAGGCTGCCGCCGGGCCGGGGCCGCGCGCCGCCGCGGAGGGGGCTTTACCTCAGAGGCGCGGCCGCGAGCTGCGGGGTCGGTCCCGGGCGCGGGCGGCGCCCCCTGCTCCGTCAGTCAGCGGCGGCGGGGGCAGCGGCGGCGGCACATCACACCCGCCGGCGACCGGAGGAGGAAAGCGAGCCACGCAGGGAGGGAACGAGCGAGGTAGGGGGGGAAGGAACGAGCGAGGGAAGGAACGCAGCTCGGCTCGGACTCGGTCCCCGCACTACTGCCGGTGCCTCCTACCGCCGCCTCTGGCCGGAGAGTCGCCGCCCGGGTCGCTGCTGTCGCCACCGATGCAGCCGGGAATGAATGCACAGCGGCGCCTCGCTTATCCGGAGGTCAAACATCCTTCTGCCTCGGGCATCCGGATCGGCGCCGGACCCGGAAGTGAACACACGGAAAAAAAATAAAAAAGGAAAGCGTCTCTCTAGCGGCGGCGGCCCCCAAGCTCCCGCATCAGCGAAAAGAGCCGAGTGGAGCCGAAGATTACACCGGCCTGCTCGGATTGGCCGGCTCGCCGACCGGAAGACAGGCGGCGCGTTCATTGGCTGGCCAGGCGTATAAAAGCCAAGCCACTCCTCCATCCCCCACCTCCGCACGAGCGGTGCGTGAGGGGGAACGTGGAGTAATAGTGGATACGGGTACGTTTCCCTGGGCGAGGCCCGGGGCGGAGAGGCTGGACTAGGTCTCTGGGGAGACCTGGAAGGAAAAAACGCTCCCGTGATTAAGGAGAGCTACCAAAAATTCCGCGTCTTGGGTGAGCAAAGAGCCTAAGGGCGCCATTGTGCCAAGTCGGGTTGGCGAGGCTTTGCCGAGCACAGCCCTCCAGGTGCAGGATTTTAGGGCCCTGGCCTAAAGGAGTGACCTCACTGGGTTGACGTTTCTCCCCCCCCCCCCTTTTTTGTAACCCCTGTGCTGTAGCAGGGATGCAGCCAATTGGAGATAGGAACTGTGGCTCAAGTTTGCATCCTATCTGCAGTGTATAGAGAAGCCCGTTGGTGAGCTCGGGTCGTCCTGTATAACGTGATAGTTACCAGCCCAGTGTTGCAAATGAACCTTCTGGAGTTTCCAGAGGCCAAACATCCCTCAGGTCGTCGAGGCGAGGAACCCAAACTGGAACCGGCGTTTTCTCCCTCCACTTCGCAGTCCAGTCCGCCCGCCCTGAAAAGGCAGAAGTTGCCATACTCTCCCTCTCTTGCAGTTGGTTAATGGAGATGAAAATACTGTCACTTTGTAAGATCGCCATGGAAATGGATTCACCATGAAGGCATTTGCAGAGGACTCTGAAAATATATTTTTTAATTGTTAGTTATTACCTAATATGACTTAGGTCTCAAGTTCTTAAGACAAACATTAAGATGTGCATGAAGAAAAACCATAGCCTGGCTCTGTTTAAAAATTCATTCATCAAACAGTTACATGTTTTGATACACTCTGTATCAAGAAGCTTGAGTCTCTATCTCACACTCTCAGGAAAAACTTAGAAGTCTCCAATGAAACCAGTGCACTTAAAATAATTGAGGATTGATCTTATTCTCCCTCTACCTTACCAGACTGATGGTAAGGTTACTGTGTAAACTTCAGAGGTGTGATCATATGGAAAGAGGCTGTTTTTGTTTTCTATTACAATAGATTTTTTAAAACTTTTTTCTTTTGCCACTCGCGTCACACTCTTTCCTAAACTGGAGGTGAAGACCTAACTATCAGTTAGTACTGGTAATAAGAGTACTGCTTCTGAGTTTCCATGCCACCATCATTTCATTAAAGACTGAGAAGCAACTAAGATTTTTTCATGATCAGACTTGAGAATAATTTGCCTAATCAAATATATATCCCAAGGTTTCTGATCTATTCCAGGGTCCAATACCGGACAGGAAACAAAGTTAACACTATCTCAATAAATTTTAAAAAATGTATGCAGTACAGGGAACTCTAAATACTATAGTCAACAACCAACAAACAATTTTGTACTCTACTTCACAAAACTCACTTTAGATCGAGAATACCTCCTTCCCACCCCTCAAAGCTCTGAAAAATGTTTAAGAAATACATGCATATTGGGCCACCTAGGTGGCTTAGTCGGTTGAGCATCCAACGTCAGTTCAGTGTCATGATTTCATGGTTTGTGAGTTCAAGCCCCACATCGAGCTCGCTCTCATCAGTGTAGAGCCTGCCTCAGATCCTCTGTGCCCCTCTCTCTGCCCCTCCCTTGCTGCACTCTCCCCAAATAAATATTTTTTGAAAAATAAATGCAGGTATATAAATATATGATTAAATCACATGTGTTTGTGAATAGGATAAAGACTTACATGTTTTAACCCTTCAGTAAAGACTTTTCTGTTGACATTAGGCCTAGAACTTGCTATAGATTAAGATTGGTGAGTAACCTAGATAGGGAAACAATGAAATATAGTCACAGCAGTCTCTTGTAAGAAAAATTTGCCAGTGTGAAAATAGCTTGTGTTAATGAGGAAAAACCACAGGCATCTCAACCAAAACTTAGTTCTGCAGCATAATATCTCAACATCAGCAGACATCACAATTTTTCATCTATATGATACATCAACTACAACTAATTTTTATGTTTCCTAGCATTGCCACTCTTCAGGTACTTATATTCTATTAACATTTTTCATGTTTCCAAAGCATTGTCACATTTTACCCCCAGATCTTTATTTTACTGAACGTATGCCTCTGTTGATACAAGTAAATATTTGTTCCATTGTTTAGGCAAGGAACAACTATCAAGATTACCTTGAAAAACGGGATAAAAGAGCCAACAGAAGTTTTCCCTATATATTTCTATTAATATGAGAGGAGAAAGTTCCTTCAAAATGCTGCATTTATTAGGAAAAAAACAAGATTCATCAAGTGGGTGTTGGTGGACGGAAGAAAAAGAAAGTAAAATTTTCTAGGGGCCTTTAATTTCACATCTGAGACAGTGTAAATATTCCAGTGTCACTTTCCATGTTTTGATTCTTCTCTCTTTTCCACTCACACCTCTGCATCCCTAGCCACATCAACACACACCCATCCCCATGGAGAGAATGTCAAAATAAGGCCTTCAATGAGAGTTTTAAGCAGGAAAACGATTCCATTTCCTTCTTGCTTCCACTTGAAGTCTGACTGCTTACAAAAAGGGACAGTGGCCAGCTTTACTCTCCACAAAATAAACCTACATTCTCTCTCTCAAGCAAAGCGCTTGTAGGACATGAAAAGAAAGCATTTTGTCAAAAGAGAAATTTGATAATTCCAAGTTCCTAGTGTACCATTGAGGACTGTGAGAGCACTAATGCAGAGATTTGTAGTATAATCATTTCCATCATACACACCCCATTCATACTATTAAACTACTCAGCCAAACTTGTTTTGCAGAAATTAAACAAGAAATAACCCCCATATACAAATGGGCACCAAAGATGAACCTAGCCCTCTAGAGTGGTCAGGGCATCAACTACGTGGCCAATGTGACTGAGTTAAATACAGGCAGATATTTCCCAACAAACAACGTAACAAGCAACATTTGTACAAAGTCCTTTTAATTATTCTTTCTGATTCTGATAACAACCCTGTGAAGTAATACAGCAGCTGCTCTTATTTTTTCCTGTTAGGAATGAGAATTGATGGTCTCAAAGAGGTTAATTAGCTTGCTCAAGATGATGTGATAATTAAATATATTTAAATATAAAATCATGAGATTAAGATATTTACAAAACCTTTTGAAAATAAAAACAGGAAACACTCATTCTGTTCTTTCAAATATTTTATTTAACTGTAATGGCAAACCTAGAATAGTGATTGATTGACAGAGGCTAGGACTTCAGGAATTGCCAAACTCTTTCTTTCCTTTTCTTTATTGTCCTTAAGGTAAACTACCTAGAAGAAAGATACAATCAAGAAAAAGTAAATGCTCAAGTAGAAACAAGAAGGGTGAAAAATGAGACATTGTCATTAACAGCCAGAGCCCGGGAGCACACCAAAGTGTTTTGCTAAGACCAGAAGAATAACCTTTTCCCCCGTCAAGCCTACAGTTAAGAGGAGGGGAAGGAAAGATTCTGGGAGAAAGCCAGTCCCAGACAACAACCAGGTACAAGAATCACAAAACTTTTCCGAAAGGTTTTCTTGTGTTTTATAATTATAATCTTAAGTAATGTGTGATAAAAATCACTTTGTCAAGACTCCTTGTTTTCGCTCAGGCTCACAGAACAAAATATCATAGGTTGGGTGGCTTCAACAACAGAAGGTATTTGCTCACAGTTCTGGAGGCCAGAAGTCTGAGATCAGGGCCTTACCATGGTCAGATTCTATTGAAAACTCTCTTCCTGGCTGTCAGATGTCTGGCCGCCTTCTCACTGTGTGTTGTTATGGACTTTCCTCAGTGCATGGGATCTCTCTCACTCTCTCTCTAGCTCTTCTTAAAAGGGCACTGATCCTATCACAAGGGCCCCACCTTTATGACCCCTACTAAACCTCGTTATTTCCTAAATCTCTAAATATCATCATATTAGGGGGTGAGGCATCAACATAGGAATTTCAAGGAGGAGGACACAATTCAGGACGTGCCAATCATCAAAGGAATACTTCCTATGTAAAGAGTATACCATCTATAAACAAAAGAAAAATTAAAGATTTGGACATTTTTTAAGGAAGACGATTGGTAGACAAATAATTTTAAACCTTCAAAGAGGAAAAAAAATACATTCTTTAAAAAAAATGAGCTTTAGGGGCACCTGGGCGGCTCAGTCGGTTAAGTATCCAACTTCAGCTCAGGTCATGATATCTCGGTTCATGGGTTCAAGCCCCGCGTCAGACTCTGTGCTGATAGCTAGCTCAAAGCCTAGAGCCTGTTTCAGATTCTGTATCTCCCTCTCTCTCTGACCCTCCTCTGCTCGTGCTGTCTCTCTCTTTCAGAAATAAATAAAACATTTAAAAATTTTTTAAATTAAAATTAGATAAAAATTTTAAAAAGAGGTTTAATAAAGGAAACTGCCTCTAGAGAAATGCTATAAACACTATGAAAAGTGTAAAAAAGAGTCTTGCCAAAAAGAATGGCTAAATCTCTAGCTAGGCAATTTAATTTTTGTGTTTTTCCATTAGCAGGCCTGAATTTTGGCAGCTTTTAGGTAAGTGTGGCTATCTGAAGAATGTTTTGTGATAAATGGAAGAGTTAGCTAAAGCCGTGGTTTATTTATTTACTTATTTATTTATTTATTTTGGTATTCGTTTTAAGAAGAGCTTGAATTCTGGGTATGTGAATCTAAGGTTTAGAGATGGTTGTAATGATTGGGCCCTCCTCCGTTTCCCATCTTTTGGTATTCTTTCACTCCCCACAACTATATTTTCCAATAACTACCTCACAGCCCACCCCACTGCATGAGCCAAATCTGACCAAGACTGAGTGTCTCATCAGCCCTCACCCAT